ACTATGTTGATGCTCTCACTCACGGCACAAAGTCAACGGGGATGAAACTGCTAGTATCAACACCGTGGGATCAAAGTATACTAGTAGCACTGGATTTTCTAAAAAGCTTATATGGATACAGTGGTGCAAACCTATAATCCCAGCACTCTAGAAGGCTGAGGTAGGATGACTGCAGGCAAGAACAGCCTGGGCAACTCAGAGACTTAGTGAGACACCGTCTCAAAAACAAACAAAATAGCTGGGGATGTAGACAGATATTTAGGACCCTATGTTCAATCCTAGCTACCATTAAAAAATACCAATGGGGGGAAAAAAGCTTTGTTGTACAATAAATAGCATATATTTAAGGTGCATAATTTCACGAATTTTAAAATCCTGTCTCAAATCACCACTGATCTATCCTGTTAGTACAATTTTCAAGTTCCAAAATTATGTAGAGAATTGTGTAGTTAAGTTTTTTTTTTTTTTTTTCAGAACCGGGGATTGAACTCAGCCCTTGCGCTTGCCAGGGAAGCGCTTATTCCACTGAGCCATCTCCCTGGCCCCAGTAAGTATTTTTTGATACAAACACTAATCAAAGGCAAACTGAACAAAGTAAACAACAGAGTAAGGACAAACCCAAGGTAGAGGGTCACTGCACCATGACAAAACAGCACTTCATAAGGAGGACAGCATAACTCTCAGTGTGTGATAGCCTGGTAATGGATTCTTAACACATGAGACAAAAACTACCAACCTAAAATAGGGAAAAGACAAGCACACAATTATAACCAAAGGAGGGGGAGTGAAGTGTCTCTCTCCATATGATGTGTAGGACAATACACAGAAAACCAGTAAAAGTATAGCCTTTATAGTCAAATTCATCAATTTGACTTAATCGATATTAATAAAACACTCCACCTACCACAGAATACACATTATTATCAAGTATACATGGGACATTCACCAAGATAACCATATTCTGGGCCATAAAACAAATTTGAAAGGATTAAAATCATATGAAGACTGCTTCTGACTACAATATAATTGGGTAAGAAATCAGCAACAGAAAGATAGATTGAAATATCACAAACACTATATTTCTAAATAATCAAAGTCACAAAAGAAATTAGCAATTTTTTTTTTTTTTTTTCAGCACCGGGGATTGAACTCAGGACCCTGCGCTTGCCAGGCAAGTGCTTATTCTACTGAGCCCTCTCCCTGGCCTAGCAAATATTTTGAACTGAATAAAAATGAAACGGTTTGGAAATCATACCTTGAGATACACTTTTGATACACGAACCTGAAAGCTTCCTATTACTAAAATGTTTCTGATGAGAATGCTCACGATATTGATAGATGTAAATTTTTTATTTTTTATGTATTTATTTTTTGTGGTACCAGGGTCGAACTTGGGACCTTGCGCTTGCCAAGCAGGTGCTTATGCCGCTGTAGATGGAACTTCTAAAATAACAGAATACACGACATACACTGAAATGTGTCATCAGATGCAAGACTGACAGGGCTCAGTAAGCTAGTACTCTCCAAAAGCCCACTGGATGGCATTATGTAAGATCCATTCTGTGCAAGAAGGACTAATGGATTTGTCTTAAGAGTACGAAGAATTCATCCACTGTGGATTTAGAATCTATACTGCAGCTAATGAGCCTTTAAGAAACTACCCCTCATTAAGTTTGGTGTTGTAAAAAGAAAAAAAAAGATCGGTATAGAAAACCTCATAGCTTTCTGAAAAAGACTGTGAAATACTCCTCTTTTGTTCAGCTACATAACTGTGCAGCAACATATCTTCATGCCCTTCAAGCAGACCTGCAGACGGCAACAGCTTGACCAGAGAACAGAATCTAGCTGTCTTCTATAGTCAGATAACAGGAACTTGCAAAATTGTGAAACAATCTAGTCTGCTGATGAAATTCATGTATATAGTTCTTTTCCTTTATTTTATTGAGAAACAAATATCAATGTGACAGTTTCAAAACTGATTAATAGGACAGTCTCACTAATTAATACACTGTACATTGTTATCTTCTTAGTGATTATCTGTAGTACAAGATGCAGACAGAATATCCTGTCCAAAGTTATTTTCTTAAGAATGTTATTTATATTAAAATATAATAAATTTATTATTTTAAATGAATTATATTTTAAAATGTTTTAATGTTTAATATCATTTCATAGCAATGTAAAACTGTTAAGTTTTGCCACAGTAAGATCTGATGATTGAATGAATTACAGAGGAGAAAGCAAAATAACAGCGTAAGGACCTATGATGAGCTGATGACCAGAAAACTTTGAGATAAAAGATGATATAATCTTAATATACTTGTTCATAGCAAATTAATCACCATTACATGGATAAAAAACCCATTCACTGAAATGATTTTATAAGGGCTTCATTAGAATTCTAGCACATTGGCAAAAGGCTGTCTTTTATGTCCACCCCTGGTGGCCAGGTCACATGTCTCCCCCGTGGCAGCCTGGCTGGAAAAGGAAAGAACAGAGGATGAGGTCAGAGGACAGACCCCTCCGAGGCTGAGAGCGCCAGATGTGCACAGCTGGAGTGCTGTGTCCTGCCTGCAGCGTTCCTGTAGGACATGTGCATTCAGACTTGCTGAAGCCCCTACTTAGTTGGGTAATGTTAGAAAAGGATTACACAGCCTTTGTGTGCCTCTTTGTCCTTAAAGCAAGAATCATCATTAAATTACGGCATTACTGTGAAGATCATAAATGTAAGGCACTAGGAAAGTGCTAAGGACAAGTAAATTCTTGGTAAGAATTATTATTGCACAACCTAACTTGAAATATGGAGTAAAAGATGGCACTAGTCCAATGAGGATATGAGAAATATAATAAAACGGTCTAAAAGTTAATTATAAAATGTAGTATGGGAGGCCGGGGAGATGGCTCAGTGGAGTAAGTGCTTTCCTGGCAAGCGCAAGGGCCTGAGTTCAATCCCCTGTTCCGAAAAAAAAAAAAAAAAAAAGTAGTATGTACTATGAGGTTAAAGATCCATAGTATGATCGAGGATGGTAAGAATAAACATCTACCTCAAAATTATCATTTAAAAATGAGTAAATAAATTTGGTATGGACTGTGGATTGAGAAGCACTTACTGAACGTTTTTTTAAAATCAATGCATTTATTTTATGGCTGTGAGAATAAAGATACACCCACAACTAATAACTATGGGGTAAACGGGAATATTTTCCCTCATTTTCAAAGTATAAAGCAAAATAATTTAAACATTTTAAAAAGTTAGTAAAGGAAAGCTACAAAATATTGGGAGTTGTACTATAATAAAAATATTTTGAGTCCAAGTGAAAGAGAAGAATATCGGCTGAATAGAAACCTCCACAGAGCCAAAATAAAACAAAAGCATCATTTCAAACATCAAAGTCAATAGTGGGGTACAGCAGGGGTGGACAGCCTGGCTAGGGTGGAATACTTCACTCGCAGTGGCCATGGGCACAGTGAAGAGCTCTGGAGCCCGGGCCTGTGTAGGGGCAAGGGCAGAATCAGCCAAACAAGCTCCCAGGGGCCCCTTCCGTTCCTGCCCGGCATAAAATATACATTTTAAAAAAATTAATAGGGGGCCGGGTAGATAGCTCAGTAGAATAAGCATTTGCCTGGCAATTGCAAGGGCCCTTAAGGCAGCCTGAGCCAGCCAAAAAAAAAAAAAAAAAAAAAAAAATCCTTCTTTGTTCCTCTAACATCTAATAACTCAACTTGGACTTGATGGCCTAGTGTCCCCCTTCCTGGTGAAGCACTGGCCAGTGCTGATCGGTTCAACAAGTGGAGGAGAAAGCTCCAATAGGTCATCTTAAATGGTCACACATGAAATGACCTCTGTTACCGAGTTGTTTTGGTACCTTTGGCTGATGAGTTGTGAATAAATACAAAAGTTTCCGCCACACAGATCATGATTTATTACTGGTTGCCCACTGCCCTTAACTGGAGCACTCAGCACCTCCAGAAGGGGAGCCTGCGGCATCTTCAGCTCCCTTTCGGTCTCAGGAGTTTCCATATGATATAGAGTTTGATGTTCATTTTATTTTTGATATTCATTTTAGCAGGCAGTAACGAAACAGATGTTCACAGAAA